GGGCACTCAGGCCTTGTTTATGGTGGTTTGCACCTGATGAAGGGACCCAACAGACAGGCTGCCCAGGGGAGGATTGGCAGTGGCACTGGCTACAACTTTCCCCAAACTGAGGGACCCCAGGAAGCCAAGGGACACCAGAGCCTGGGCAGGACAGGCAGGAGCTGCATTCACCTTCTCCCTGCTGTCCTGAGCGGGCTGCTCCCATTCCCCTGGTGCAAGGCTCTTTTAGGCTATCCTCAGGGCAGAGCAGATGCACTGGGCTCCACAGCAGGAGGAGGGAAATCAGTCCCTGCAGCTTCTTATGGGCTCCAGAAGGGAAGTGCAGGGGCTAGATTTCTGACTTACAGCTCAGCAGGTGGGCAATATCTACCTGTTTGGCACTCCCTGGGGTAGCATTCTTCATAATGATGCCTAAACACACAACAGAGAGAACAGATCAGCTTCCCATGGTCAAGGCACAAGGAGAACTCAGCCCAGAGGCAAGTCTTCAGCTCCCTTGTGCTGTGTTTGCCATCACTGGTAGGTTGTGATGAAAATGTTCACTGTTGGGTCTCATGGGCTGAGTAAAGGGCTGGGAGTCAGGAAGAAAAGGGTAGTCTACACCCAGGCTGCTCCCAATGTCTCTGGTAAGCCACAGAAGTCTGCCTCTCTCCCCGGGCTGGCCTGGGGGTATAAAGGGCACCAGGAGCCTCTCTGCACCCTGAGCACAGGGGCAGGCCAAGCAGGGACCCAGCCTTTCCAACAAGCTGGGGTGGCAGGAACTCCAGCAGCAGGTGGACATGCAGGGAGATGCAGCCTCCTTCCCAGAAGGAAAAGAAGCCCAAGGAGTTTCAAGATGGGCTCAATAAGGTCATGCAGGGATCTCTTTGACAGGGCTTCTCCCAGGACCAGTTTCGTGCACTCAGTGGCCCAGGAGGTCTGTGCCCCTTTCCATCTGCCTTCCCCATGAAGTGGTGCTAAGCAATTGTAAGCTGTGCTGGGTAACCATATCCTAGACATGCTTCCACCACTCAGGACTACTGAATCGTGGCACAGGGCTTGTCTGCCAGAACCCCCAACCATACTGTTTGGTTGAATCCCTCTCAACACCAGCATTGCAACACTGGGAGCATCATCCTTTCCAAATCCTTTCTGGGGAACCCAAGGCACAGGCTGATTAACAGCCTGATCCTGCTCAGCAACAGCTTCACCACTCCTCTTGGGGGGCAGAGGAGGGTGGAGGGGAGAATGAAGAGGGACCAGGCATTCTCTCACCCATAAATTTGATGGCTGCTACCAGATCTCTGGCCTCAGGCTCATGTAATGCCTCTGGACTGCCTGGCAGAGACCCTCCAGGAGAGCAAGTTTTTTTCCTTTGGCCTGGAGGGAACCAAGGCCATGTGAGCTCCCTCTGGTGAGAAGTGCTCTCACACCAGAGAAGAGCCATGCAGATGATCAGAGATCAGGAAAACAGACATTACGACGACAGGCTGAGAGCCATGGGACTCTTTAGCCTGGAAAAGTGCAGGCTCAGGGGTGATCTGATGGCCACCTATAAGTTTTTCAGGTGTGACCACCAGGATCTGGGGGAACAGTTGTTCACTAGAGCACCCCAAGGGATGATGAGGTCGAACGGTCATAAACTACTGCAAGACCGTTTCAGGCTGGACATAAGGAAGAATTTCTTTACTGTCCGAGCCCCCAAGGTCTGGAACAGCCTGCCATTGGAGGTGGTTCAAGCACCTACATTGAACACCTTCAAGAGCAAATTGGATGCTTATCTTGCTGGGATCTTATGACCCCAGCTGACTTCCTGCCCTTTGGGCAGGGGGCTGGACTCAAGGATTTTCCAGGGTCCCTTCCAGCCCTAATGTCTATGAAATCTATGAAACCACATGCTGGTACTGATCAGGAGGAAATGGGAGCACCAAGGGACTAGAAGGAACAGTTTTGGCCTGTCCCATGCCTCATGGTCCTAGACCCAACCCTTGCAGTTACTTACACTGTGCCCCAGTTCCCTCTCTCCATCCTACAATGAGCCCTGCCCTCAGTCACTTCCTGCCACTCACAAACTCACTCACCTACACCGCAGCCCAAGCATCTGGATGCCATCTGCGAGGTTACAGTTTCCCTGGCCTACAACCAGAGCATGCTTAGCCCTTGCCGCAAGGCCTCACTCAGAGTCATACCAACCGCCTCTCACCTGGGCCTCACTCACTCCAGCCTCTCACAGGGTCTCTTTCCTGCTTCAAGAATTTTTACCGCCTTGCTCCCTCTTGGAGCAGGCTCCCTTTGGCCTCAGGCTTTGCTAGTCTATTCCTTGGATGGCAGATGTATCGTCTGTTGGGCCTCTCCTGTGACCCTCACCGGGGTAGCGGCCAGCAAGTTACCCAACCAGGTCTAAGCATACTCGGGCCCCTTCCAGGGTAACACTATAGGTCTGCATGTTTACTGGCCCTCAGCCCTCTAGTTCTTCACCCCCTCTACTCAGGTCTTCCCAGGTGGGCTCAGGTGGCCATAGCTGTGCCTAGGGCGCTCTGCCTCTGTTGTCACCTGACCCACCCAAAAAGGTGGGAGCTGGGGTTAAAAAGGTGCCTCAACCCACCTTTCACCAGCGTGTTAACTGGCCTGGCATTTCGTGGGGGCTCCCGCACCACTGGGAGCCCCACCAGGCCACCCACTCCCAGCAAGGTGCAGTTTTAGGTCATGCCCAGGACCAGAAGCCTCTTAACCATCCTCTATAGCTCCTGCCCTTACCTCCAGTTGATGCAATGTTGCCTGGCCTTCCAGTAGCAAAGTGTCCCGTTTATATGGGCAGCCCTCAATCCAAAATGGCTGCCCCCATTAGGAACTGCCAGCTGCTGCCTTCTGGCCCTTAGAGTGGCAGACACAAACAGTGCCCTGCCACACTGATCACCAAGAGTACACCTCATGGCCTTGACTAGTTCACATTTTTTCTTGCTCATCTCCGGCACTGGAAGGAGAAGGCAGGCACAATATTGCTGTGTTCTGGGAGCTCACCCTCCACAGCAAGATGCACCCAGATTGCAAAAGACCTGTGCAGATTACCACAAGCAATCTCCCATCCCTAATTTGTAACCTGGGAAAGTCTCTTGGGCCCTAACAAAAGGTCTCATTAACCCTCTTAACTTCAGAGTGCTGCCAGGAAAGGTGTCCAAGCAGGATTTGGCCCTAGCTCTCCTGTATCATCCAGCAGGACTCAGGGTGCTACTGGCCCTCTGTGACAGAGCAGCAGAGGATGGAGATCTGGCTCTAGCTCTACATAGGCAGGGCTCGAGTGCAGTTAGAGCAGGACAGGTTATTCATCCTGGACGGTCCTAACTCGGTTCCTGAAGGGTCAGCCAAGACAGTCAGACATTTGCTCTGGTCATACTTACAGTCAGCAGCAATGATGCCACTAAAGATTGAGAGGGACCCCACACAGCTTGCCTCCTTGTCAGTCTTGAGCCAGGAGCCCACAAGGGAAACACATTGGTCTGGGGAGAGACAGGCTGCAAGGGAGAAGAGCACAACCTCAGTGACCTCAGCACTCCTTGTTCTCATTCCCCTTTCCAGGGTTTGGCACAGTGCAGGGAGGGTCGAAGGAAACCCTGGTGTCACTGCGAGTCTCCTCTCCTTACCGAGCAGGGCAGAGACAGAACACCTTGACCTGGTTCTCTGGTCTCAGCAGCTGAACGATATAGCACACCTGTGGGAAGAAGGGAGGGGATTCTCCACAGTCCTATGTGGGTGCAGATGAAAGGGTGGAATGGATCCTGAACTCCCATTGTCTACAAGTTGAACCAGAGACTGGAGTCCCAGGGGACATCACTGCAACTCACAGAAAGACCTGAAAATCATAGGCCACCTACAAGATCTGGCTCAGATTCTTCAAAAGATGGTGAGAGTCAAAGGGAGGGTTAAAGAGGACAACCATGGAGATAGCAAGCGCAGAAAATTAGTGAGTGAGAAAAAAAAAACAAAAACAAAAACAAACAACAACAACAACAAAAAACAACTTCACTGCCCCATGCTTAGTGCTTTATGGCTTTGGTGCTGGAAGTTTCCACGTCTGGAACTCTGACCATACCACACTGTGCTGTTTGATTCCCTGCTCAGTACCCTGAATACACCCCACCTGCATTACCAGTCTGGAGGTTTAGATTCCTTCCAAAGGATGCCAGGAGGAGAGTGGGTCCCACAGGCCATGAGTGTCATAGGCCCCAAAAGCGACTGCAGAGTCAGGACCAGCCAGCATCTGCCCACACAGCCCCAGGGACACAGGACAAGGGAGCACAGAGCTGAAGTGGGATTCTCCCCACAGGTAAGCTTGTGCTCCTTCAGGGGGCTGCCCAGGTACAGACAAAAAAAGACAGAGCATAGCCCATCTCACCCAGGAGAGACATGCTCCACAGGCAGTGGGGTGGTAGCCATCCACTTCTATAACCCATAGCAGGGAGCCTCAAATCTCCATGTTTTAAACTACCAGACCCTGACCATAATCCTTGCACTCTACAAGAGAAATCCTCCTTACCCCAAGAAGCTTTGAGAGGCTAAGCCCAGAAGGAACAGAGCAAAAAATTCAGCTGGAAGGCATGGTCCAGTAGTAGATTTCTTTTGTCTCCCCTTATCAGACTTCCCAGAAAATGGAAACAGCATTCCCAACACAGCTGTGATCTACAATGCACTAGCCTCACCTCCATTTCAGTGGCCCAGTGTCTGGCCACTCCTTTACATCCATCCATTTCATCCTTGGCTCCAAGCAAGCTGTCTCCCCCACCACCTACCAGCCACACACTGCAAATAGCTGTTCCCGAATTCACTAAATCCCAACAATTCCTTGCATGAGACTCCTCATGCAAATGCCAACTGAAACACTTGGCTGAACAATATTTTGGCTCTGTTTGGCTGGCCAACTACAGGATTCACCTGGGCTGTAGGACACAGCTTCAGTATGGACCAGGAAACTTCCTGGACAATGCTGTCCCCTGCAAAGCACCTATGCACTCTGGTCTCTCAGCAGAGGAGCTCAACACTGGGTTGAATCCTGTCCATGCTCTCCAGAAACATCTGGAGGAGATCCGTCTTGAGCAAGCCTGCAGCCTCTGACCAGGGTCCATGCAGGAGATACACCATAGGCTTAAGCTACATTGGACCAAACAAATTGGGCATAGACTAAGGTCTTGTGGGGAGAAGCTGGGCAGAGCTCACTCACCTGGGTCTCCCTCACATCTTTGGAGGCCAAGTGCATGATCCTCCTGACAAGGCTCCTATCCAGGCTCTGTGCATCCCACTGAAAGACTTTCTCCAGGCTGGAGTAAACAGTTACTCTTGCCTCCTGGGAAACACCAAGAAAGAGAACAATGGGTGTCCTTTGCGACCAGTGCCAGATCATCCAGGACTATGATGCTGGACACCAGCTACCCAGGGATTGTTTTACAGCCACTCTAAGGAGGAGGAGAAGGACTTTTTCCCTGGACAGGAACACAACCCAAGGCATCTGCATGAGAAGACAAACCCAAGAAGTTCACAGCTGGCACTAACAAGGGAGGAGTGTCAGACACTGTGAGGGTACAATGTAACAGAATGGCAGCAGACAGAAATATGATCAGAAGAGCAGTCAGATGCATCACAGGCACTGTCACCCCAGTGCACTGGGGAAGTGGGAGTGACTTGCATTTCTTTCAGAGAGAGGGACACATGGGGAGTAACAAGGAGCTGCCGGGTGATCCCAAGCAGCAAAATTTAGGAGGAGTTTGCCGGGCAAGATGCTGCCAAAAACCATTGTGCGATTAGTTCCATTACTGAATGCAGAAAGGAGTTGAAATATTTGTGAACCAGGTTTCCCTAACCCAGTGGAGTCATACTTGGATGACAGCAAGTCAGGTAGGGAAAGTGTTGTGGCTCTAGACAGAGGCTCAGCACTCTTGGCTGTATTCCCAGTTCTTTTCCTGACTTGCTGGGGGACAGTGGGCAAGTCACTTCACTTCCTGAGCCAGAAGGCAGAGGCTTTTCAGGCTCACAAGACTGCTGGGAAACTATTTCACATCTCAGTGCTGTGAGATACTTGGAGGAAGACCCTATAGAGGCTTACAAGCATTATCCATAGGGCAAGGGCTTGTTTGAATGTGGCTTCTATCATCCACTGGGGAGGAGGGGGAGATGATGCCTATGTGATGCCCTGATATAGTGATATCACAATATAATAAGGACACGTTGTAGTGTGGCCTTTAATAGGCAGAAGTGGAAAAGACACAGCAGATGGGCAAGGACCAGTTTTAGTTGGGGCCTCACCCCGCACAGCCTTGGAAGAAAACTCTATCACGTGGCTGCTCTAAGAGCCATCACCCTACCTCCTCCTGTTGGAGTCTCTCCAGCAGAAGGCTCACAGTAATGTCAGGTTCCATGTCTGCCTGGCCAAGCCCTGGGTCAAGATTGCCTGATGGACCAAGCTCAAGGCATCTCCCTGCAGTAGAATCACTGGTAGAAAAAGCCTGAAACGGAGAAAGAAAGTTGTGTTCTTTTCCATTGGTCTCATTCGTTACCACCCACTAGCAGCTCTGCTAGAGCTAAACCCTGTGGCCTGGCTACAAAGGACAGGTTTCTTAGTACAGTCACAATGGGAGAGCTCTCCAGGCTACCACTCTGGGTGGAGGCAACTGGTACTGATAAAGCGGCACTTTCCCTAGTATAGTTTAGTTCTGCCAAAAAGCCCTTCTTGATCAGTCAGATGCAGATGATGTTCTGGTGTCAGCCAGGATCAGAAGCCAAAAAAAAAACAAAAACAAAAAACAAAAAACAAAAAACCAGCCCCGTGTGCAATGGCCACAGCTCTACCAGCCAAAGGAGGCAAGAGGAGCCCTGGTCAGGGAGGGGGGGGGGGGAAAAAAAAAAAAAAAGCCTTTTTTCTTTTTCCCCGCCTTTTTTTTGAAAAAAAAAAGAGGGGAAAAAAAAAAAAAAAGCCTTTTTTCTTTTTCCCCTGCTCTGTTATGCTAGAAAAATTGCTTGCAAAGCAGCCCAGCCAGTTGGAAGGGGAGATGACCATGACATTTGTTTTCAGGAAAATAAGGGAAAGATGTGCAGACAATAGCAATTATTTTCTCCTTGACATTTAGCTGGAGAATTGGGATCACACACCCAAAATGATGGTTTACAGCTAAAGTTTTTGAAAGCTAGATTGCCTATACACATACTAGGGATGGATGGAGAGAGGCTGTTTAAAATTAGAGTGGTTCCCCAACAGCCACTAATTAAAATGGCTCACTGTCACATGTATTAAGCACCCCATATTTTAAGATGGCCATTGGAGCACTTTAACTAAAACTTATTCAATGAATTTTAGTTAAAGCACCCCCACAGATATTTTGAAGTGTGGCAGGGAGGGGCTTAATACACATGACAGTGAGGCAATGCTAGAGCATTTAAATTGAGTCTGCTCCAATTTCTTATTAACTGAGCCTGCTCCAATTAGAACATGAATCAGGACATCTGTGGACTGCCTTAGTGCTTAAGCTTAGGTAATGTATACAGAGACACCTCACACCAACCATCTGGCTGCAAGGGGGACAGGGTCAGAAATACCTCAGGGGTGGAAGGAGGCTTTTCCCAGAACATCTAAGAGAGTCTCTGATGATTGGAGGCATGTTAGTGCTCAGCAGCTGAAGGCTTGATTTGATACCAGGTCAGAAAAAAAAAAACCCAGCCAAGTTACAGTCCAGGGCACCAAGTAACACTGGTTGGCACTGGTCTGGCTCTAGAAAAGATGATTTTAGCTAATCCACTTACTGTGTGCTTCCAAGAATGGGTGTGGGACTAGAGATTAGGCATGGAGAGCTTACCTCTGCCGGGTAGCTTCAGGATGATGACTTCCAGTGTTCCAAGTTGACTTAAGCAAGCTTTCCTTCCCTCATGCTGAGAAGCTCCCATCGCAAAGGCATCCAGAGCCACTCAAGCCGCCAGGTCCAGGACCCAGGAAAGAGGCGAGCCAACAGCCTGTGTGACATAAGAGCCACTATGACAATTAGGTGATCATGTCTTACCTCATAGGTGGCTGCTGACCAATAAGGGGCTGTGTATCATGTAAGCTTTTTACAGGGCTGCATAAGGCTCCAGATATAAAGCATCCCCAGAGGAAGCTAAATTTGTCTTCACGTAGAAGATCCTAGTCCCTCAGATCACCTCGAAGTTTCCCCCATCTTCTCCAGGGGCACTGTACCTTCTAACACCGATTCAGCATTCAAGTCTGCCCATGGTTGAATCTGTAAGAAATAAAAACAAGTAGGAGCCAGGAGAAGCTTCCTCTCACTTGCTAGTTCTTGGCCTCCTTTGTTTTTGCATCTTGTCATCCAAGAGGGCTTGTTGTAGTCCTCAGATGTTACAGGACTGGGTTGCAACCATCTTGTCCATTCAGCCTGTCAAATGCACCTTGCCCACATGGGTCCTGGACCCATCTACATGTAGGCCCCACCTGCCCCCTCCGTCCAGTGCCCCCATTGGTGGGTGCGGGGTGGACGACTGCCATGAAGTCTACTAGAGAAGTTGATGATTTAGGGACTTTAAAACTTGGCCCAGTGGGAAATCTCACAAATGTTTCATGAGATTCATGTACAGATTTTCTAGGTGCTCTTGTTTCCCTCCCACATTGCTACCATATCCCCTAAACGTTAGTTATTTAACTCATATACAACCCCTGTCAGACTGACTATGGTTACTATTCTCAATTAGCAGATGAGGATAGGCGAGGCAAAAGAGAGAGTAAGTGGTGGGTCTAGAAAACATGTGCTGGTGCAGGGAACTGAACCAAGACCTCAAGTCCCTTTTCAGAGACCTCTGATGTGTCAAACTCACTGCAGAGGATTTGCTCTTGCTTTTCCTGAGATGCCTGCAGTTCATTGGGGAAGGGAACTTTTCCCTGATGATACTAGAATGGTTGCATGTACTGCTAAATGAATAGGTGCGATTAAGTGCAGCATGTGCCTGCATACACTGGAGGACATGCAAGACAAGTAAAATAAGTAGCTGGAGAAGTTGTACAAGATGGTGGAGCTGTTATAATATATTACATACACACACGAATATAGCATCTGGCTTAATCAGGCTCTTTGCTTCCTTCAAAACAGTGAGAGGCTGACACCCCTCTCTGCACAGGGCTACCTGCATGAGCACTTCTCTGAACTTAGCAACAGCAAGGCCTGTGATCTTAGGTGCATTATGTCTCAATTCCATGTGAGGGAAGTTATACCAAAGTTTGCCATGCTATTAAGACTGGCTGTGCCACATCTTACAAGGTGCCAAGCACAAGCATCCGTCTTCCAAAATAGTGCCTGCAGCATGTGCAGCAGTTTCCCCTCGATTATTGCATGCTTCTGGCTTGAACTTCAGAAAGAGAAGTCACCCTTTCACTCCTGCTGCAGGTGCTCAGCCTCTCTAAAAGCTAAGCCATAATCTTAACTCCTACTATAAAGAAATGGGATGTCTTCCATGAGCAATTTCCTCTTAGCTCATGCTCTCTTCAGATTTAAAGAAGGAAGTCTGGTTTGTTGCCTGGGGCTACAGTTCCCCTCTACAGAAACTGGATTAAGATTCTTTGTTCACTTCACACAGACTTCTGGGGACAAGTGTCAGTCCCACCTTGGGACTGGTGTGAAACAATACTCTGGAGTCTCATTCAGAGCCTTGGTGCTGCTGTCTTTAGTCAAAAAACAGAAACACAAAAAGCCCCTGTGAAGTACAGCGATATGGGAGGATGAAAGGCTTTGCATGCAGTTAACCAGCTCCCACATCATCTGATCTGCCCCTTGGATCTCCCAGTCCTCAGAAGGAGGTGAGCATTAAAAAGGCCTCCATTCATGCCCTCCTCACTAACAGGGAGATCAAAGGTAGTGCACTAACTCAAGTGGCAACAGGTTCCTTTGACCTGGAAATAAGAGTGCAAGGTCTCACCATCAGCCACTTGGCATATTGCCTGCCCTCTGATCTAATGTAGTTGAGTAAAGTTTTGACTTTGTTCAGAGGGATGGGCAGGATCCAGACCCACCCAGCATGAGAACCACAGCTACTGACAGTAAATAGTGTCCAGGGAGGAGACAGGAAACAGAGTACTTAGAATAATCACTCAGGCCAAGGCAGCAGGTTTACCAGCTGTAGCAGTGCCGTCAGTTGGGCTGGCTGCACAAATGCAAACATGCAGTTAGCAATCAATACATAGCAGCACTGAGCTGCCTGCTCAGCAAGACAGATTTCACCTCCAACACATGTATTTTTATACAAACCAAAGTAAAGCAGTCTTTCCTGCCTAGGTGCAAGGGGGGCAGACCTGATGGTTTTGTAGAGGTCCCTTCCAGCCCCCAACATCCATGGAAAGACAAAACAAGACCCCCCCCCCCCCAAATAAACACAATCTATGTATTTAGCCTTGATTTTTCCTCTGTTCTGACACAGGGTGACCATGAGTTTCTCCTGACCCCACAGAAAGCAAGTCTAGCAAAGTGTCTGTGAAGGAGACAAATTTCAACCCTTATTTCCCCTTCTTGGGGGCAAAAGTAACTTCACAACCCTAGGCAAGAAACTGGTGGTAGATCAGCTTGGGTCCCAAACCACATGCGACTGAATCCTGCCACATTGCCAGCATGGGCTGGTTTGTTTCAGACTTTGCTTTTTCTGATACACCAGTGTTTTTGTTTTGTTGTGTTTTTTGTTTTGTTTGTTTTTTTTAAAAGAGGAGGGA